GCTAACTGATATAACATTTACAACCAGAAACTATTAATTTGGCTACAACAATATTTCTAACTAGCATTCAGTTGGTGAGTCGTCAAGAGATGTATTTGTTTTGGATCTGAAATTTTTTGGTCCATTTGATCTGCCAATCAAAGATTTACAGCCTATATTTTGGCTTTTCTAGAGTTATGTTATTTCCTTCTCTCTTTAAAATGTGTGCATTATGTGACTTGAGGCTCGTGTCTTCTTTTTCTGGACATTTTCTAATATTAACTTGCAAAGGAATATATCCTATTGCATTTTAGTTGTGGGATTTAAATCTAATCTGGTGGTAAAGCTTTCACTTCCAGGCTATTCAAAATTCAATTGTTGTCCTCTTTTATTTATTTATTTATGTTGTAATGCTTTGTTGGCATAGATGGTCTACAGTTTCAGACCTTGTGGTTGAAACTTTAAAAGAAGAAAGAAAGAAGGGAAGAAACATTTTTTCTTGAAAATTTGGAGTTATATATTAGTAATTTCATGATTGAAATTTTACATGGATGAAATACAACTTGGTAGATTACGCAGTTTGTTGTTTGTTGTTTCAGTATTTAATTCTTCTTCTCCATAAAATTTTTAGAAATCATTAAGGGATCATTTTAGGAGTGATACTGATAAACCAAAATCACTTATGGGGAGAAGCACCTCCCATGTGCTTAAAACCACTTAAAGTGATTATTAGCCTATCCATAATCACTCCCAAACGAGCCCTAATTCTAAAATTTTGCATTTGTAAATCGTGGGAAAATATTGTAATTGTGAACTGAAAGAACCTTTTTATACTTTTTTTAAAGCACCTCCTTTGCTGAAAACAGCACCCCTTTAATTCATGTGATCTATTCTTCAGACATGTTAGTGTTATTAAATTGATTTTGTAGCATTCCACTTGCCATGTATTTGACCTTGCAGCATTTTGACTTGTAGTTTAAGATGATAGATTGGACAAACACATGAGATGGTAGAATTGTTTTTTTCTTTTTTGTTAGCTTTATGTCAATTAACCATTGCACTATTTTTATATATAAAATATAATCTAAGCTCTTTAATTTGAGTAATTATTTATAAAAATAATATGGCTGATATATAAGACATTTAAATTAGATTTGAACTTAGTTTGAAACTTTGTAATTTGTTAGCTTAAATTTATGAGTAAAGATTGCAGGAACTGTATTTTTTTTAAAAGCCCAATAGGCCTGTTTAAGATTGGGGCAAAGTGGATATTTGTGAACAACTGCCTGGGCCAAGTCATGAAACTGACATAACCAACTCGTTATGAAGTCAGAGAAAACAACTGCCTGGCCCAATAGGCCTGTTAAATCTTCTTGGTTTGCAGAGGGTGGATGCTGAAGCAAATGGCTTCTTGATCCAGTTTTTGATGAATTCTGAACTTGGTGGAATTACATCGTTCATTTGTTAGCTTATCAATTGCTTGAAGTAGCAACCTTTGCAGAAAAATAATGGCTATGTACCCTTCTTTTAGGTTCTTGGAAGACTAGCATCTCAAATATCAACTGTGATTCAAGGGAAGGATAAACCAACATATGCTCCAAACCGAGATGATGGTGATATGTGCATCGTGCTTAACGCAAAGGATGTTTGTGTCACGGGGAGAAAACTAACCAATAAGGTTTATCATTGGCATACTGGGTAAGTGCAGTTGTTTTAGAATTACTTTTGTGAAAAGTTTTCAGTGCTACAACCAAGGGGAAATTCATGAAAATAAGAGCATTCAAATCTTGTTGTATGATTAGTATAGTGCAACAGAGTCTTCATTTTAGCTTTGAACCTTTTTGTTTTAATGAAAAAGTATGTCCCCTTAAAATTCGTTGAAATCAGCAAACTAATCCTTTAATTTAATTTTATATGTCTGTATTTTAGTTCTAAACTTATCCCCACAACAAATTAATAAAAAAATTAGTCTTTTAATTCAGTTGTGGGAATTCTCAAGTTTAGTCAATAATTATATGAATGAGCAAAGGAAATGAATAGAATTGATTCATGATGTTTCCTAATACCCTCTAAATAAAGTCCTCCTTGTCTTTGGTCTTGATGTTGAATCATGTACGGCCTGTAGGTATATAGGTCACCTCAAGCAAAGGACTTTAAAGGATCAGATGGCCAAGGACCCTACAGAAGTCATTCGCAAAGCTGTATTACGCATGCTCCCAAGGAACAAATTGCGTGACGTGAGTTTTATAGTAGTAGCTTTTCTTCTGTTACGTTTTAGTTTATAGCACTATGGTAGCATCAACTCTAAGGTTGCCCAAGCTAGAGAGGACCTTACTAGATTGCAGTTACTCCATTTGCAGGATCCTTTAGTTTAGTCAATAATTATATGAATGAGCAAAGGAAATGAATAGAATTGATTCATGATGTTTCCTAATACCCTCTAAATAAAGTCCTCCTTGTCTTTGGTCTTGATGTTGAATCATGTACGGCCTGTAGGTATATAGGTCACCTCAAGCAAAGGACTTTAAAGGATCAGATGGCCAAGGACCCTACAGAAGTCATTCGCAAAGCTGTATTACGCATGCTCCCAAGGAACAAATTGCGTGACGTGAGTTTTATAGTAGTAGCTTTTCTTCTGTTACGTTTTAGTTTATAACACTATCGTAGCATCAACTCTAAGGTTGCCCAAGCTAGAGAGGACCTTACTAGATTGCAGTTACTCCATTTGCAGGATCCTTTGAACTCTGACCTAGCTAATGCATATAATTATTTGCTGGTCTAGTAAATTATCTTACAGCATTCCTTTAATTTGGATGCAGGATAGAGATAGAAAGCTGAGGATATTTGTTGGCGGTGAACACCCCTTTGGTGATCGGCCCCTTGAACCGTATCTGATGCCCCCTCGGCAAGTTAGGGAAATGCGACCCCGTACAAGACGAGCCATGGTCCGAGCTCAGAAGAAGGCTGAACAGCAACAACAGGATGTTAATGATCCACGTAGGGGAAAAAGGAAGGATAGACCCGAAGTGAATGCATGAAGAGTTCTTTAAGCGTATTTGCTTTTATGAAAGTTATCAGGGGCCTGAATCATGACTTCTTCAGAGTATAAATTTAACAGACGGATGTGCTGATTTCACATCAGCAAGGAGGCAGATTGTCTTTACGACATCATTCCGAACATTTTCTGTGTCGTACTCTGTTATTTTGTAGACAGCATATGGTTGATTTGAATCTTATTGGTAGATCTTTGGAAAAATAAAGTTAGACTAGTCATAAGCTTTTAAGACATCTAATTTTGATGAAATAAATACAAGAGAATGGTAATGCCAAAAGAACACTAAAATAATCAAATGGTTCAATGACTTTAAGATATTGGTGAGTTCTTGAAATGGTCTTTTGAAGAAAGATATAAAAATAATAGTTTTGGAAATGGTATCCTTTCCTTCTTGTTTCCTTTTCTGGAAAAAGATATCAACAAATTACGGTTTGATATACGTGTCAAAATAATTCATTAAAAAATGAAAAATAAAATTCAAGACACGTATCAAATTGTCATTGTACTTATCCTTTGAATATATTTTATGTAAGCATAATCAATTCGAAATAAAATACAAACAAACAAAAAATTCTATGAATGGATGGACGAGGAAAATTGAAGCTGATAATAAAGGTTACTTGGGATGTATCCAAAGAAAAAAAAAGAAGGGAAATACTACTTTTCCTTCCTTGTTTTACTTTTCTCCCTCATTAATTGTATTTAGGTTTAGCTCCATGCATCTTCTCCGCCTTCACGGCAGCATGGCCCATCAATCACGCTATGAAAATGGTTACGTGGCGCGCGCCTAGTTGAGCATGGACTTTTTCTCAAAATCACCAGTGTTTTTAATCAACGTTTTAATTTAATAGGGTTGGCATTTTTCCAATTCTCCCAGTCTTGCTAATTTGACATTTCTTGGGTTTCATTATCTAAATTAATATCTACTTGTTTTTTTGTAATGTTTGCAAGTAATATGTACTCGTGCGAATATTCAAAGTACCAGCTGTTACAAATAAACTTATTAAGTATCACTTATGTAAACAGGGACTAAGCGTTTATGACCCGTTGCCCAGAATTGATGACCTATCATCTAACAGCATGGCCCATCAATCACGCTATGAAAATGGTTACGTGGCGCGCGCCTAGTTGAGCATGGACTTTTTCTCAAAATCACCAGTGTTTTTAATCAACGTTTTAATTTAATAGGGTTGGCATTTTTCCAATTCTCCCAGTCTTGCTAATTTGACATTTCTTGGGTTTCATTATCTAAATTAATATCTACTTGTTTTTTTGTAATGTTTGCAAGTAATATGTACTCGTGCGAATATTCAAAGTACCAGCTGTTCACAAATAAACTTATTAAGTATCACTTATGTAAACAGGGACTAAGCGTTTATGACCCGTTGCCCAGAATTGATGACCTATCATCTAATGTTTGGGTTTAATCCAAATCTCTCTAGACGTTTTTGTTTTTTTCTCCATGGGGTCCAAACGTGACACCATTCGTCTGTAAGTCAAGGTCATTTTCTACTAGATTAGACCCTATTGGCCTCTAAAAGATCTTTTAGTTACTTCTTTATTAATGTGTACACGTGATTAGGGACCATGACCATATAATAATTATTACGTTTTCCGTTTACATGTGTGACTAAGTTAACCGTTATAACTATATATATTTATCCAATTGACATTTTCTACACTTAATTGCAGGCCTATATGATGACTCTAATTTGTCTAGATTGAATTTGAATTTTATGTAATATATAATGTAAACAGGGGACGTCATTGCAGTCAATGACGACATCTAGGACCTTTCCAACAGTCTAGAACCAAATATTATGAGTAATTTGTTAGTTTCCTTAGGGTCCTGTTAACGTGTTACCATGGCAGCTTAGACCCGTAATCAAAATAGTAAGAAAAGATCAAAAGTTAGGCACGCTACAGCTCCTATATAAAGCACCCCTTGGCACCCAAGTTTATCATCATCCTCCTCACCAAATTACAAGTTAATTAAGTTTATCAGCAAGAGCAACATCTAGCCAATTAAGACATTTCCATGATGATGATGAAGAGCCAAGCAGCTCTCCTCGGCCTCACCACCTTGGCCATCCTCTTCTTCTCAGGTATAATATTATACAAACTTTGTTAGTCGTTCAAATATCGATCAAAAGTTTATTTTTACAATTGTCTCTGTAATCTGTATTCTTATGATCATGGTTTTATGTACATTGAACATGCAGGTGCACATGCAGCTAAAATCACTTTCACAAACAAATGTACCTACACTGTCTGGCCAGGAACGCTAACCGCCACCTCCCCTCTTAGCAGCCCACCCTCCTACAGCCACCACACACACACTCTCTCTCTCTCTCTCTCTCTCTCTCCCCCAAAAAATTTACTCTACACACCCAATCACCACAACCAACCACTCATCTCATTGACACAAAACAACTCCTCCCTATCCCTCAACTTAACCAGTCCATTGCCATCACAGCAGCCAATGATCCACCCCCTTCCCCACCTGCAACCAACCCCCACATCCAAAAAACCCAAAATGAAAACCTTATCCCCACCCACAGACCCAAACCCATTTCGCACCGTCCTCCTCCTCCAATTGTAGCTTCTTCATGCGCTCGGAGGTCGGGTCCCACATAGGAGCAGAGGTTGGTCTTCCATTCACGGTTTATGTGTCTGTGGCTATGGTTGATTTGGGGAAGAAGGGATTGTAGAGAGTGGGAGAGACAGAGAGAGACAGAGAGATACAAAGAGATATGGAAGGTGAGGTTTTTTTTTTTTTTTAAACTTTATTTATATTATTTTTATTTCAAATTTCAAATTATTTTATATTTTTTTCATATGAAAATGACCAATTTGCCCTCATATTTAACGGAAAATTGGATGAAATGTTGTAGATTTAGACGGAGGGGGGAAATTGGCCAAAAAAAGAGTTCATATCCTTAATTTTCTAAAAAAAAGAATAGGGAGTTAATTGAAAATTAGGTACAAGTTTAGGGGTCAAATCACTAGTATACCCTTTACTGAACGTGTATTTGTACGTAGGGCAAATCACTAGTATACTATTCCTTACTATTCCTCAGTTCCCTCAACACCATTGCGACGCTCAACAGTTCCGATCCAGCGACGACATCCGCTTGAAGATATTTCTTCGACGTCAGCTCTGCTCGGGCTTTCCAATTTTATTTTCAGTTCAAGGTAACCACTTTTCTCTCTCTTCCTATAGTTCGTGATTCTTACAAGCTCAAAGTTAAGAGTTATGCAATGATTTGGGTTTTCAGATTTTTTAAATAGGGCTAATTAATTACAGTGTTGGTTTTGGTTTCTGGGGTTTTTGATTTAGGCTGGAAGGGCTAATTAATTGTAATATAATTTTGGGTTTTGGGGGTTTTCGATTTTGATTTTGGTTTGTGGGTTGTTGATTAACCTGTGAGCGCGGCAAACAGGTACCCGTTGGAGATATTGAATTGCTTTCTGAGCAAACTAAGAGATGGCGAGTGAGGAAGAGAGTGCGGTGAAGGAGCCGTTGGATCTGATACGGCTCAGCCTCGACGAGCGCATCTACGTCAAGCTCCGCTCCGACCGTGAGCTCCGCGGTAAACTCCATGTACGTCTCCACACCCCTACCATGCCTCTTACTCTGCTCTAAATTAGGTTTTGTCTACTTTCTGAGTTGTTCTAATTAGGGTTCTAGATTTGGCAAAAACTAAAAATGAAGAGAAAAGAAAGTTTAGGGTTTAAAGTATGCTTCTTTAGTGTTAGGTGGTGAATGGAAATTAGGGTTCTTTCTTATGATATGCGTAAAGTATACAATAACTGTTTTCTTTTATTATTTTCCAAGGAAAAGCCATAACTTTTTTTATTTATTATGCCTTTTCTATAATTGTCTGTTTTTGCGTTTGGGTTGATTGAGAAAAGTGATATGAATGAATGAACTCGAGTCTTTTCATTTTATTGCAATTCTAAGTATTTTTGCTTCTAGTTTTTTGTAAGTTTTAAATTTTCTTTCAAATGTTGGAGCTTGTTGAGCATGGAAAGATACCTACAGTGGTTACTTTGACACTACTATGATTATGGCACTGATGATGGTGGTCTATTGGTGGTTAATATTATATAGTTTATCAATTCTAGAGTGATGATTTAGGTTGCTCTTTGCCTCATCTTATCATGAAATTATACCTCACTATATTCTCCCATTAACTGATCTAGGCAAAATGTGTGGCTGTATAAGAAATCTGTAGCCATCTTTATTGCTTTTTCAGAGTTAAATCCTCTCTTTTCTTATTATTGAATTCAAATTTTAAATTATGTAAGCGGATGGATCTTGGGTGATTCTGTTGACTTTTTGAGTAAGGAATACTTCTTAGCCAGCATTGCAATTGTCATAAGAGTTATGCTAAGCCAACCAGTGATGCTTTCCAAATCATCTTTCTTTTCCCCTTCACCTTTGTTTGCATGTTCCTCAAAAGTACTTCTAATCAAACAAGGAATAATATGTCCTAAAGAACAGAAAAGAAAAATTACAAGTTGCTGGTTCAGAAGGTTGTTATGCGAGGACCAATTGTCGAACTTGATGCAATGACATTAGGGATTAGGAGAGGGGGGGAGGGTGAATGAGAAAGTTTCTTGTATGTTTATAATTATGTCAGCTGGTTCTGCTAATTGTTACTTATCATAACTGACACAAATAAATATGCAAACAACCAATTAAAAATACCCGCAAGTGCACGAATCTATTGAGGTATAGATTATGTAAGTACGGGATTGATCCCACGAAGAACTGTCAGCTTCCTACAAGTTCTAATTTGAGTACGTAAAGAACACTTATTTAACACACCACACGCATAAAACAAATTGGAAACTAAAAATGAGTAAAGAAAGGTAAAAGAAAAGAAACAAAACAAGAAACCAAAGAAAAACACAAACAACACTTTCTATCACCCTTTTATCACCACTGTATCACCTGTGAACAATGGCTGGTGACCGGTCGTGAACAGTGACAATCGGTCGTTTTTGGCAGATTGGTTGGCGACCGGACGCCTGAACAGTAACGACCGGTCTTTTTTGGCTGATTCGTTTTCTCTGTTTTTCAGTTTCGACCTCGGTCCAGTTTTTGACGTATAACTTTCCAATCGTTTGTCCAAATTTCAAGTTCTTTATACGGTTGGATTCAGCACAGAAAAACAAAGAACACAATGTGGATCAAAAGTCAAAAACAATTACAAAAATAAACAGAATTCAATGAAGAAAACACACAACGTTTCCAACAACACAAACACACACAAAGTGTTGGGGGGGTTTGAGTTGATTTGAGTGACCTATTTCTAATGCATGAAAGTAAATGAATTTTAAACTTAAATGAGAATGGCATAGACGAGTTATCAAAGTGTGAAAGTACAAAGTAACAAACACTATGGTTTCGGAATCCACCCTAAACAATCCTACTAAAATTCGTGAATACTCAAGTGATGAACTCTAAATGTGTTGATGAAGATGTTCGCAATCAAGATCGGGTTTAGTGGCTCAAGATGCATGATTCTCTCTAAAATAAGTAGAGTGCAGGGTTACTGCTACAATACTCGTGCCATCCCCATAAACCGAACCTAGGTGTGCTTAGTACTTCGATTCAATTACAAGGAAAATTCATTAAGTTCAAAGAGAATATGAACATCACAAGAATCCTAATAGCATGGTGTTTACATTAGGCATTCAAGAAACCAATTCACACGGATGGTTCTTACTTCATCCATTTGTTACTTAGGAAAATATGAAGAATTCACACAATCCCAACAACCTCAAGAAGCATGCTTTCAAAGGTGATCAATCAAAGAAAAACATACATCAAGAATAGATTATAAAAGTGAAATGGAATTCATCAACAAAATCTAGAGATTCATACACTCAAGCATCAAAATAATAGAGTAATCATGTTTAGGGCTTCAACCTAAGCCCTAGTTATGAAGTTTAGTTGCTCATACTTATTTCAAACACAAATTAAAAACAAAACTAGAAAGAGTTTACAGATTTTATGAAAATGGTGGAAGCTCAAGGTCTTCAATTGTGGAAATCTCTTCCACTTCTTGCTTGGTTGCCCTTGTCTTCCTCCTTGAGCTATCTAGCTCCAAGCTCCCAAAAATCTTTGCAAAATTGTAGAATGAATCTGATCCCAATGGCTGCCTCCTTCTTTGCTACATTCTCTCCTCCTTTCCAGCTCATTCTTCAATATAAAACACATTCTTTTGCCAAAGCCTTTTGCCTTGTCTTTCCTTGTCTCCTTGTCAATGATGAAGTTTTGTTTCTAAGCATATTCCAAGGCTCTATTTGACTCAGAAAATCCCACTTCAACAAGGTAATTTATTGTTATAAAATGGTTTGGTAACAAGTAGAAATAAGATGCTATCAAGTGGAGGTAAAACTGGCCCAAAACAGATTTCCAGAGCTGGGAACAATTGTTGGATAAGTTGGTTGGGCAATACTTGCTCAATGGAGCTCAAATTCGGATATGTTGTAGTCAACATCCATTGGAACAAGTTTCATGAAGATCTTCATCTCATCCGAGCATCGGGGCATGTTGATCCAAGGCCAAGAAGTTGACCTATGAAAATGAACAAAAACATAATTTATAACTGAACCTAGGTGTGCTTAGTACTTCGATTCAATTACAAGGAAAACCCATAAAGTTCAAAGAGAATATGAACATCACAAGAATCCTAATAGCATAGTGTTTACCAATAATGCACTTTTAGCTCATTTTCATTCTAACCAAGGTAAAACCTATGAAAACACAAAAATGAAGTAAAAAGCTATAAAATGTCAAAAACTAACTCAAAATATTAGGGGAATAACATAATAAATCATGTGTAAAAATGAACCGAACAAACTTCCCAAACTTATCTTTTGCTAGTTCTCGAGCAAAACAGAAACTAAAACAAGACTTGAAACAATCTTTCCGAACACTTTCCAAAGAGAGAGCGACTCATGCAAATGACTTAAAAGTTTTCACAAGAAAAGCTCAGTTTAGACATCATTCAAAAGTCGGCAAAGTTCAAAACACAATATGCTCAAAGTGTAGTAGTGTGATGGCCAAATTCAACTCATTCTCCAATTTCAGTTTTCACACAACTTCGAAAATCATACCAAGCACAAATGTAACTTCAACTCTCACAAAAGTTGTCCTATCACAAATGAATCACTCGGAAGAGGTTTACAATGCATTACTAAATAATAAATATGAGAATAGAGTTAAACCATAAGGGACTTAACTCACAATAGAAGGATGAAAAACATGCATGACTATGATCTCAAGAAG